GCCTCCCCGGGGTAGGGGGGTGGCGAAGGTCTCGGGGAGCCCTGAGGACGCGCCGCGCCCCGAGCCTCCGGGCCCGAGATTTGAAGGGTTTCCATCCACTCATCCCGGGGGCGAGGGGGGATTTTACTTTCTCCTCCATCAAGGCCACTCGCCTCCCCTCTCCTTGGGGGCCGGTGGTCGGGAAGCCTGGGCTCAGGGCATCTCCCGGGTCCGGGATGACTCAGTGTTACCGTGCCCCCCTCCCCCGTGTTGCCGGAGGCCTTTGACCTGTCCCCCTCTCTTCTCTTCCCATCTTGCCTCTGCCTAGGGAAAAAAGTCTCAGTCCTTTTCATTTGAAAAAGGAAGAGAAAAATCGGGTGCCTGTCGTGGACCTCTGTCTGGGGTGGGAGTGACTTAGCTCCGTCTTATGAATACAGATATTGTAAACCAAGATAAGGGAGTGGGGGAGGGGAGGTGAGGCGTGTTCTTAAAAAATGTAGTGTTTTGATAAGCAGGTTGAATTTTTATTTTTGGTAAGTAACACGTTTTACTTTAAACATTTAAAGATTTTTGATATTTTAGCATAACTGGATTTAGTAGTAGGGTGACCGGGACTTTGAACTTTTTCTTATTGCCCCAGTTTTTGTTGAGTTTATACTTTTTTTTCCAGAATGATATGCACCGTGACAGTTATTTCAAGAGAATGCATGTTTTGTTTAGGATTATCAGTGCTGTGACTTTTATGCCTACATTCAGACTCTATAAGAGGATTTCTTGAACGTTCATTAAGCTAGAATTAATGCTGGGTAGTCTTCCCTTGCTCAGTATGATTCAGTTGTGTAAAGAGGACGTCAGCAGAAAAAGTGCTTTTTTCACATTTAGATGATTTAAATTTGTGTTAAACAAGAATGGCATAAATGGGTATCACATTTGAAATATACATACAAGTTTTTAAGTGTTTGACATAGATAATGTTTTTGAAATTTTGAATGAATCTTTTTGGAAACAAGGGAAAAAAACAGCACCCAAGGAGAGTTCCTGTCCTGATTTCCATTTTAGACTGTTTTCTACTGAGGCTGGAAGAGATTATAATAAAACTCCATACCCTGGGCCCTAACATGCCTCCCAAATTGTGTGGTATGAAAAGTGATGCATCCACTAGGCAAACAATGGAGAACCATGCTTTGATTTCTAGTGAGAAACCAAGTCTTTCAAGAATGGTGTATATTCAAAACTAGGTTGATTAATCCTGCAGGACATGATCCCCGTCTATCTTTGCACAGTGTAGACACTTAAATGAGTTTTGGATCCTCAGTTTGGAGTGGGTCCCAAAAGATAAACCTTTCTTACCGTTTTGTGACTTTTTCATTAATTCAGCAAACATTTTTTGTCAGTGTCTACCTAGTTACTCTTCTGGGGAATCAAAGATAGAAGGCCCAGCCTATCAAAGAAACCATAATCCAATAGTTTCAAGAGAAAAATGAACAGAAATATCTCAGGGTCCTTTTCTAAGCCTGTTTTCCCAAAGTTATCAGATTCAGCCGGGGATATGTGAAAGGGTATGACTATTAGATTCACTTAACTTTTCACCTGACTTTAAGATGACTAGCTCTTTAAAAAATAGTGAAGTTCTGTATAATCTGTTTTCTACTGGGTACAAGGCAGTGCTTTCCTGTTATTAAACCAATTCTTAAATCCTTCTTGTACCAACAATAACCAAAGTAGAAGAAAAGTAATAGTAGTAATAGATTATTTATTGAGCACCTTTTGTATGCCACACGATATGCCAGGTAGCTTTATATCATTGCTAAATCCTCCCCATAACCTTAAAGCTAGAAATTTTCCTTATAGCTGAGACAGTTGAAGCCCTAGGTTGCACTGCTAAAAGTAGAAAAGCTGGACAAAAATCTGTAGCTGACTCTTTCTACTCATTTTGTTAGCAGCGTTCTTCATTGGAATGTTGCTTCCTCTCCTTCTGTCACCTCGATCTTTATGAATGTGTTTAATCTGAGCATCTCTAGGGCTGTAGTGCCACTACTATACATGTTATATAGTCCTCACTCTGTGACAGGTAGCACCTTATCTTAAAAGTATGTGAGCTAGCTACTCTTATTTTTGTTTTACAGATAAGGAAATTGAGGCACAGAGATTCACTAATCTGAACCAGATAATACTTTAAATGCTAGAACCACGATGCACACCTGGGCATGCTAGCTCCAGAATCTACACTCTTAACCACTGTGCTGTACTGGCCCTTCAACAAGGTATGTCTCTCATTAGTAGAAAACTGTGATTTTAGAGTGCTTAATGTTTTTCTCTTTTTTGTTTGTTTGTTTCTTTTTAATGTCCATGCAAACATATGTAGGATAACTTTGTTATATTTACTACCCAATGTCCTATTCCAGTGTCTTATGTAAACAGTTGCATAGTACTAATTATAGTTAACATTTATTGAGAGCCTACTATGTTCCAAACACTGTGCTGTGTTTTAAATATCTCACATAGTCCCCAGCACAGTTCTAGGAAGTAGATACTGTTGTTTTATGCTGCATCTTATTTGTGAGGTACTTTTATGTCTTCAGAGTGCTTTCATAAAATAATCCCTTTGATTCTTTCCAGGCTGTCAGTCAGAGGTATTACCATCACCTAGTTGTATTGTTGCAGTTCAGCAAGGTTAGATGACTTACCTTGACTAGTATATGATGGAGCTAAAACTCAAACGAGACACCTATATATACTACTTTTTCCATTGTACTGGTCTTTCAGTGATCTCTACTTTGTATTTCTTGTCCTAAATAGACCATATTTTCCCACAGGAACAGCCTAGATTGTGGTCCCAATGCAGGATTCAAAGTCAGTTGAATCATAGATATGACTAGCCATAAACCTTTGTCATTATTTTCATCTGTAAATTTATGTTCCAACTTTGATATGGTGCATGGCACATAGTGGGAGCTCAGTAAATGTTTCAATAAAGAGTTTTCTCATATACATTGCCATAAAGTTTCCTAAAATGTTTTAGGTTTGAATGGGTAAGGGTTTTTTTTCTTTTCTATTTTATATCATAACCTTCCCCCTTCCCCTCCTCACAAACAGAAGCCTTCAAATTTGTTTCATTGAATCATAAGTAACTTCAAAATGTATTGGGCGCTGCCCTTCCTCACCCTGAACCATTGTTCCCAATCTTCTGTCTTCCCCATATTATACCCCTTTTGTAGAATGGAAAGAGCAAGGATTTGAGAGTCCGTTTTTCCTGGGTTTGATCCTTGCTCTGCCTCTTAGTAGCTCTGTGAACTTGTACAATTACTTAACTTCTCTGAATCTGTTTCTTGTAAAATTGTGGAGAGCACCTATTTTATAGGGGTGTGGGGTTAGAATTCATTGAAATAACAAGCAGGGCTTGGAAGGGAGCTCCTATAGTCCCAGCTCCTCAGGAGGCTGAGGTGGGAGGATTACTTGAGCCCAGGAGGTCGAGGCTGCAGAGAGCCATGATCTCACCACTGCACTCCAGCCTGGGCAACAAGACAAGACCTCTTTAAAAAAAAAAAAGAAAAAGAACATGTAAGAGACTTAGCACAGTTCTAGGCTTCTAGTAGACACTAAATAACAGTTCTTATGTGCTCCTCCTCTGCCCCTCCAAGTCTTCCCTCTGCTTTGGCTCTCAGCCAAAATGATATTAGTACAGTATTAAAAATTATCTGTTTGTCAGTATCCTTCACCAGACTCTTTGAGGACAGGGACTATATGGCATGGTCATAGTAGGGATCCCTAATGCATGGAACACTGTTTGTTGAACTACACTCATTTGGGAAGCCATCTGGAACCTTTTTTCTTAACAATCCTATTGTCTGAAAGTCTTGGACACCCTTGACTAAGGGTGTTTAGTCACTTGGATACCCTTGACTAAGATGAGGGGTATTGGATATTGTTATTCGAGGCCTCCTGGATTGAACTAGAGGTTGTGATGGGAGGAGAGATGGATGAGAAGCCAGGTGAAAAAGGATAGGAAACCTTCAATCTGCTGGAGCGAATGGGAGCGTGTGTGTGTGTGTGTGTGTGTGTGTATGTGTGTGTGTGTGTGTGTGTATGCGGGTGCTTTGGCTTTTTATATATAAGTGCCAATGTGTGTGTGTATGTATAAGGATTTAAACCTTATCGCCTAATTGTGACATTGCTTCTGAATAAAAGGAAGAAGAATTTTCCAAAGAAAAGCTCTTTCAAACATGTGAAAATAATAGTGATTATAGCAATTTTTTCACCATTTATTACTAATAGTCACATGGCACAATAACAGTTATTATGCTTAGCCTAAAATGCAGATTAACTTGGTTTTAAATTTCATTATATTACTTCAGTAAAACTTTGGTATAATCAGCCTTCGTTGTTTGTAGAATAGACATTGACTCGCAGAAAAGCAAAGAGACTATTGCTTAGTAATAGAATGAAATTATAATTCTTCTTAACCAGAAATGTTTTTGGTGTTTTTTTACAGTTTAATTCCGCTATCCATGAATTACTAATCGGAGCATAAATTGGGCATGCTTAAGGCTTTTTTTAGGATGATAAATTGTATTCAACTTTTTTCCTCAACGTTTTATTATGAAAAATTTTGAATATACAACAGTCAAAAAGAAGTTTATAATGAATGCCCATATACCTATCACCTAGATTCTACCATTATTTTATTATGCTTTTTATTGTATATTTATCCATCTGTCCTTTTTATATATCCACCCATCAATCGATAATATTCAAATGCTTTTATATTTGAAGATATGTGGACTATATATTCTATGTTTATTTTGGTCAGTTTTGGGTTTCCTTTACATAGTAGCAGATAATTCTTAGGAATGAAGTATAACTGATCGAAGTTATAAACTGTTCTGAAAACGTTTAGATTTCAGATGTCAATAAAGCTATTTGTCTTCTGTATCCTTAGTTCCAGAAGATGAGTCGTGGATATTCCGAAAACAACAATTTCCTAAACAATAATAACCAAATGGTATTGGACATGATCCTTTATCCGTTAATTGGAATCCCTGAGACCATCAACTGGGAAACTATAGCAAGGCTTGTGCCTGGATTAACACCCAAAGAGGTAAATAATAGTCCCCTAGGTATCTCCTGGAAAAAAAAAAAAGGTGGTTAAAAGAACAACTAAGAGAAAAAAAATTTGAGTTTTACATATTCAAATATGTAACACTGAATATATGTATATAATTTGACTAGATGCATATCATGTAAGTTATATATTTACCCACCTGGTATGTTTAAATTCAATGTCATCTTACATGTTTATAACTGAAAAGTCACTGGTAATATCTTAACTTGAGCAATAGAAGTATTACTGCAAAATTATGAGTAGATAAAATTTTTGTAGTTTAGATTATATATTATTAAATCCCTAACGCTATTTCTAAAATTTAAGTAATATACAGACCTTTTTAAAGGAAAAAACTTAGAAGCTCCCAATGTTGACTTTAATTGTTTTCATTATGATAGAAATTTTTTTTCTTTTTAAAAATGTTATTCATTTAAAATGTTTTAATACCAGTTTGATAGTATATGATATAAGTTAAATATGCATTAATAATACTGAGTGTGAAGATACCTTATGCAACTGTAAATCAAATTTATATACTGTAGACACAAGTGAAAAGTAAAACCAATACATGATTTAAACTAATAATGCTAACTTAATGTCATGAGTAACAGTGTCTTGCTGAAATTAAATAGCTAATTATAATACAAATATTATAGTCTCTTGTGGCACAGATTCTTTTGCATACAGCTGTGTACTTTTCAAAGCCTTGTTTCTTTTGCCCCTTTTCTGTCATTCTCTCGGAAGTCTTTATTATTGTAATAAAGAAATTCTAGTGTCACAAATTAGATACTCTTTGGTTTGCTTTCCATTGAGGCTTAGTATTTGTCTTATTCCTGGTAGAAAAACTAAGTTAATACAAAAATAAAAGTCAAGTTTTTAGCTAAATTATTAAAATTATCAGGTAATAATACATACAAACCAAAGGAAAAGATAGTTGATTTAGGCAGTCTTTATTTTTCTATAAATATGCCTTTGGGTTAAAGCATATTGAAAAAAATTTTACTCTGAGTTTTATAAGAGAAAAAAATTAGCCAGATGCTGTTATGAAGTAAAACATGCAGATTTTCTAGATGTTACTCAACAGATTAATATTCATTTATAAAAAGTAATTATAGAGAAGTATTTTCAAATAGAAGGCAAGAAAATATCTTTTTTTGTTAAAAAAATTCCCAAACCTCTGTTTCTTTTCTTTTATATCATGACAGTGTGCAAAAAGGTTCGATGAACTGAAGAGCAGTGGAAGCTCACCTGTTGACAACCAGTATAATCCCCTAATGGCTGCTGGAGAGAGTCCTGTTGAAACTTTAGCCACATATATCAAATCCTCGCTTCTTGACACACAGGGGGAATTTCAGGAGACCCCAGAAGAACAGGATGCAGCTTCCAAATCAGGTAAGGTCTTAAAATAAAATTCAGTACTTGTCTTTATGATAATTCTGTAAAATATATATTTCAGTTAACTTTTTTCCTTTGTTCAAAGGCTATGTAAACATTAATAGAAAAATCTATTAGTTTTTGTATCTTTCTGAATCTTAAAAATTATATTTATCTTTGCTATATTTTTTTAAAGTTTGTGTTAATATATAGATCAAACATTATCACCAAAAAAAACTATACTAAATCAAAATTTCCTGCTCTAATCTATTATATTAGCCTAGATTAAATGTATTACTTATTGTTTACTATGATTTTTTTTTTTTACTTTATTTTAAAAGGATTTGTCCTATATACCCTTTCCTTCATTTTTTTTTTCCCTTGAGAGAATCTTGCTTTTTTCTTATGTAATCTTTTTAAAAATTACTCTTTTTTAAAATGGTGGGATCTCACTATGTTTCTCAGGCTGGTCTTAAACTTCTGAGCCAAACAATCCTCCTGCCTAGCCTCCCACATAGCTAGGCCCACAGACACACAGCACTGTGCCTGTCCTATAGCTACTCTTTGTTGCAGTCAACAAGAGCTTCAAATGACACAGTAGCAGGGTAAAAGATGTTTTCTGCAATTGCATTGAAAATAATAACTGGTTTTAGAAAATCCTCAGAGTATAGTGATTTATTCTAATCTCAGTAGCAGCAGAGTATTGATATAAAAATTTGCTTTAGGAAGAGAAAACTATGCTATTAGCCTTTGAACATTTGACCCCTATTTATACACACGGCATCAGTATTTTCTGAAATTTTCATTGTAACATTAGCAACTTGTGATTCATTTTTTGTACTGTTTCTTCCATATATCCTTAGAACTATTAGGGTAAAATGCCACCTGGCAAGTACCATCTTTAGCCATGGAAACCATGCATTTACAGTATTACCATTCAATAAGTAAAAACCCATTCTCAGCTAGAAACGCTAACCCCCCCTTTTTTTTGTATGTGTTTGTTTCTGTGTTTAAGGAAGACATAGTATAGCTTCCACAAGGAATTGTTCTTCAGAAAGTGAAAATTGTACTACTCATAATGGTGGAGAAAAGACTGAAGAATCTGAAGGGTAGGAGGCTGGTTGTTTGCTAGATAAGATTTAATATTAATATCAACTTTAAATTATAAAACATGATGGGTGGTTATATGTATCAGTTACCATAATTTAGGAATTTTGCATCACACGATTGCTGAAACAACTGAAATCAGCTTAGTTCATGTGTTGAACCATAAACATCCCTAAACATATGGCTTACTCATGTTATTAACTATAGTTTTTTATTTTTTAATTTATTTTTATATTTGTAAGTATTCAAAATTACATCTATTAGCATAAAACTTCAAAAAGTATATTTTAATACACAAAGAAAAATCTCTATGCCATTAGCTCTCCAACTTGATGAAAAAGACTGGATGTGTAATTTAGAACTGTTTATATAACTACTCATTATAGAAAGATTTAAAAATTAGAGTATATCTTCCAATGTATTGCAAGTTTGATAGTTTTGTATTATTTTGTTTTTATATATATAATAAACTACACATATTGTAAGTGTTCACTTCAATGAGTTTTGTTTTTTTTTTTTAACTTCAGTGAGTTTTGACAAGTGGGTACACAATATAACATCACCCTAATCAATGTACAGAATATTTTCATTATTCCTGAAAGTTCCTTTGTACACCTTTACTTTTTGATAGATTTTTAAATAACAGTCTTATTAAAGATTATTCACATATCATAAAATTTACCCTTTGGAAAAGTTCTGGGGGTGAATGGTTGTGACGATTTTACAACAGTGTGAATGTACATAATACCACTGAACTGTATACTTAAAAGTGGTTAAAATGGTAAATTTTATTTTATGTATATTTTAGCACAATTTAAAAAATCATCCTTTTAAAATGATTTTTAGTTTATTCACGTAGATTTTTTAAATTGATATATTGGTTTGTGTGATATAAAACTTTTATATCAAATTTTTTAACTGAAATTATCTAACATTTTACATCATAGTTCATAAAACTGCTGCACCTTTATGTTTTATTATGTCAGTTATTACCTATTTATATTTTGACCATAATTTCTTTAGAAGATCAATTTGTGAAAAGTTGTTTAAATTCTTTTGACTTTAGGGCATTGATTGCAATTCTTTTTCCAGTAACCCATTTTATTTCAAATATTATTTCTTTGTATTAGAATTTGGTGACTTAAACACACAATTCAATTAAACACAAATTCATAGTATAGGACAATATGTTTCCTCCTTTTTTTTCTCTTCCTTTTGAAATGACAGGAAGGCAGATGTGATGTTTCTTTTTGAAGTGATATAATTTTCAAAGAAAGTAAATTCAAGGAGAATATAATAATTTTTTTTCTTTTGGTTGGAATCTCACTCTGTCGCCCAGGCTGGAGTGCAGTGGCACGCTTACAGCCCCTATAGCCTCTATCTGCTTGGCTTAGGCAGTCCTTCCATCTCAGCCTTTTAAGTAGCTGGAACTACAGATGCGTGTCACCCTGCCTGGTTAATTTTTTGATTTATTATAGAGACAAAATCTCACCAAGTCACCCAGGCTGGTCTCGAACCCCTGGACTCAGACAGTACTCTCACCTCAGCCTCCTAAAGTGCTGGAATTATAGGTTTGAGTCAACACGCCCGGCGGGAATATAATTTCAAAGCAAACTCTGATGCATCATCTAAACTTGTTCTTAAATTATATTTTAAATATGTAGGCCAGGCTTGGTGGCTTAACCTGTAATCCCAGCACTTTGGGAAGCCGAGGCGAGTGGGTTGCCTGAGCCCGCAGGTTTGAGACCAGCCCGGGCAAATTGGTGAGACCTCGTCTCGATAATAAATCAAATATCAGCCAGGCGCAGTAGCACATGCCTGTAGTTCCAGCTACTTAGAAGGCTGAGGCGGAAGGATCGCCAGAGCCCAGCAGGTCGACGCTGGGTTGACTGTGAGAGTGCTCATGCACTCCAGCCTGGGCAACAGAGTAAGACTCCAACACACACACATACACGCACACACACACACACACACACATACACACACAATTTAAATGCGCATATTGTAGTCTTAAGAACCCATTAAACTATATTTACTAATTTATATTTAATGAATGCCTAGAAGCAAACTTTCTTACTGATAAAAATACCCAAACAAGCCATGCTATTTTTTCATTTGATTTTTTTAAATGAATAATTTTAGCTGGGTTTTTTTTTTGTTTGTTTGTTTGTTTTGAGTTGGAATCTCACTCTGTCACCCAGGATGGAGCCTTAGCCTTCCAAGTAACCGGAACTACAGGCGCACGCTACCATGCCCGGCTAATTTTTTATTTATTGTAGAGATAAGGTCTTGCTAAATTGTCTGGGTTGGTCTTGAACCCACGGGCTCAGGCAATCTACTCACCTCGGACTCCCAAATTGCTGGGATTACAGGCTGAGCACCAAGCCCGGCCTGTTTCTTCTTTTTAAAAAAAATATGAAAACATTAGTATTTAATCATTATCTCCTCCCAGGACCAATCACCACGTAAAAGTACTGTGTTATGTTCCTCACAAGAATTAGAGTGTATTATTTAATTTTTTTGTGTGAATTGGTATTATTTTTATAAACTTTATATTTAATGTATAACTTAAAAAATAAATTTTAAACCATGTAAACTACTAGTCCTTTAGTAATGATATTTTTATTTGTTTTATTAAATTAATAACTTACTAAAATAAGTCATAATCTAAGATATGATAAGGTTAGCAAGGCACTTGAAAAATTCTGAATGTCAAAACCCTACAAAACTGATTTGTGATCAAAATTTTCAAAAACTTCTTGTTCTCTTACCTCCACTAAATGTCAATATTCTTGGCTCCTTTTCTAGAAATCTAATTATTTAATTTTTGTAACATTTTTTATGAAGGCCAAACATGGTGATCCATGTATGTGATGAAGCAAAAAACTTGAAAGAAGATTTTATTTGCCCACGAGATCTTTTGATATCAGAAATGAAGTACTTTGCTGAATATTTATCTATGGATGCCCAGCGCTGGGAAGAGGTGGACATTTCAGTTCATTGTGACGTTCACATTTTCAACTGGTTGATAAAATATGTTAAAAGGAACACTAAGGAGAATAAAGATTGTGAGATGCCCACTTTAGGTAAAAGACAATCTGTTTCTTACTTTATAGTGAAATTTATGTGTCACCTGGTAGCTTCTTCAGGCCAAAAGTGAAATGTGGAAAATGGTTTGGACATTAACATTTATGCTCATGTTAGTAACAGCCTTTTAAGAAACCAGTACCTCATCTTTTTTGTAAATTATAGTATATATAGTACATTTATGACATATTAGCTGTTCTCAACATATGGTATATGGACTGGAGACCCTTTTAGAGGATACACAAGGTCAAAACAATTTGCATAGTATTGCCAAATTGTTGTCTTTTTCACTGTTGACATTTGCTCAGATGGTGCAAAAGCATTGGTAGGTAAAACTGTTGGGGTGTTAGCCTAAATCAAGGTAGGGCCACCAAACTCTACAAGTAGTATGTAGTTACATAGTTAACAAAGAAAAAGGGAAAAGAAAAAAATTCAGTTTTACTTAAGAATGTCCTTAAATGAAGCAGTAAAATTTACTAATTTTATTAAATCTCGATCCTTGAGCATACATCTTTTTACTGTGATGATTTCTACTGCACACCAATGTATGATGGTTTTCTTAAGGAAAAGTACCTATGTGATTACTTTGAGTCATGAGCTAAACTAGCTGCTATTTTAAGAAATAGAAAACCATTTTTACTTGAGAGAATGACAGGGAAATTGTGGTTGTTCAGACTTAGGTATTTGGCAGACATTTTCTTGAAAATCAGTCACTTAAAGGAAACTGAAAGTATTTGTTGTCAGTGATGAAATTCAGGCTAAGTGAAAATTACAGTTTTGGAAAACTTGTCTGCTTCCATGTGCTTGACAGCTTCTCAATACTTTCTGAACAAAAACTTAGAAACAGATGTGAGAATCTAGTTGTCTTCTATTAAGTCAGACATTGATTGAAGAGATTTGTAAAACATGTCAGCCAGTGCTGCTTTTCTCACTAATATTGTTCAATTTCTGATGAGAACGGTGATCATATTAACGAATGTGATTTTTTAATACATTGAACAGTGAAATGTTTCAGCATATGGAAGACCTGTATAACTCGGTGAGCCAATCTTTTCCAAATGACTAATTCATTATGCTTTTTAAAATTTTGCAGAAGTTAAAGATCCATTCAACAATGTAAGACAAACCAGTGGATTTTTATGTTAACAGTAGGAAAAATTCACTGATAATATTTCAGATTCATTGCAAGTAACCTTTAAGAAACTATCATTTGTCAAGTTTGGTGTAACATGAAAGAAAGCTAGCCACAAATTGAATGCAGAAACAGATATGGGAATCCAGTTGTCTTCTGTTAAGCCAGACATTGGAGATTAGCAAAAAATGCCAATCTTTTGTTTATTTTGGAAATACAGTTATTTTAAATAACAACATGTTTAATAAAAATAAAAACCTTTATGTAATAGGTTTTTTATTGTTCTTTTAAAATGAGTTAGTAAATTTTTTAAAATTTTAAAATTTTAATTTCTACTGTGATGATTACTGATAGATATAACCCACATAAACAAAGGCTCTTTAGGATTCTCAGTTTTTAAGATTGTAAAAGGGTCCTGAGAGCAAAAGTTTAAGAGCCAGTGTTCTAAATGATAGCATACTATTGATACTATTAGTAGAATTAGTCTAGTAAGAATAATTAGTAAGTAGTCTTTCAATGGGCATAGATTTGTATAGGAAATCACACTTGTGGTTTAATAAAGTCTTTCTGTACATTATAATTTCCATTTATAGCAGTATCAAAATATTTCTAAGCTCTTATTAGAAAATAAATCTATACTGATAGTGTAAAAGTTTTTTGAAGAAGCTTATAATTTATCGTGTTGTAGTGACTAAATAGGAAAGGTTTCTAGTGATTCTTAAACAAAAATTCCAAGATTGCTAAATCAGATTTTTCAGCCAGAGATCAGAGATTCCAGACTGCCCAGCTATGATATGTAAGTGTGAAATAAAAATCAAAGTACATGGAAAGAAAAAAAGTTATTGTTTGATCCAGCATCTTTATGTGTGTAGTAAAGGTAAAAAAAAAAAAAAATGGAACAAAACTAGTTATTCTGTTATTTTTGACCCTAGATCAGTGGCTACAAAGGTAAACTTTTACAGAAGCAATCTTTATTCTAACCAGGAAAACTACCAAAATGCTTAATAAATGTCTAATAATCCAGCCCCTGGTTCTTAACTGAGATTGGGGTCTCTTACCCTTTCCTGAGGAACTTTTTTGCCAGCTTCTTTCTTCCTTCATCATTTTTATTTGAGAGCCTTTAATCTATAATTGTTCTTTAGAAAAAGATTGGGATTACTTTTTTTAACTCTTGTCTGCTTCGTCCTTTATTTAGAAAAATTGTCTTAGCACTGTAATGGTGTCAAATCAGCTTTTTTCTTTTTCTTAAACATACCTCATGGGATATAACATCCCTCTTTATTTGTATGCCCGGAAGCTCACTCAGTTTACCTTTAGGAAGTAGCATTAGCACTTCTGCAGCATTACACTTTTTATTGTCTTTTATCTTTTTAAATTAAATATTTGTTCATAACAAGCACTGAACTCCTTTTGAAATAACTTCACCAATAACAAGTGCTCTCATTGATCCTTTAAAAGATTTTTCTCACTATGACTTTTGTGTATGATGCATTATATCCTCAATTATCTTTTCCCTGGATTAGTTAAGGATAAGCTTGCATGTGTCATATTTTTAGCTAGAGTTAGATGATACAAATGTGTAACTCCAGAGCAAATTTACTGTGTGTTTTCTGTATACCCTAAGTTTTAACAATTAATTTTCTTTCTTTTGTGCATCTAACCCCTATAATACAGTAAGCTTATATTAAATTGCTCTTACTAAAGAAACATCCTTTTTAAAGGTGAAAAGGAACCTGTTCAGAGGAGATTGATGTACAAATAAAAAGGAAAATCTAATTTTTTTCTCTTTTTTAGAGCCAGGAAATGTCATTTCAATTCTTATTTCTTCCGAGTTTTTGAAAATGGATTCATTAGTAAGTATTAACAAAACCAAAGCTCTTCTATTCACTTACGTTTTTGTCCTTCAAGTATCTAGAAAATTCTAAGGTACCCTACTAAAATAGTTGTTAATTCAAGAATGACTTCATTAGACTAAACAGCTCATGTTTGGAGGTACTTTGTGCCTACTATATATCATTTGCATGTTATATCTGTTAAATAAGCAGTTAATCCTTAAGGAGTAGCTTAAATGAAACTAAACAAAATTAACTTTACCCCAAAAGAAACTTTACCCTACAACCAAATTAAATTAAAATTAACGGGCATATATTTGTTTTGCTATTTACGTAATTTCTTTAAGCGTGGTTTACTTATTTGTGTCTTTCATTTATAGTTCAGTGAATGAAGAACAAATATTCAACTTAAAAATATAATTTTGTATCTTTATTACAAAAGCTCATGTCTGTTGCTTAAGAGTAGCTCATAAAACATCAAAGCATGATATATACTTATACATTTCAAGGTCTAACATTAAATATATATTTTTTCTTTTTTTACTTAATAAATTATTAATGATTAAGATAATTGTATTTGTTTTTGTGGTTAATGTTTTATGGTTAATAGTTAAATAGATATTTGCTTTTAATTCCTGATAAAACTGTATTATACAGAGCAGAATATTCCTTTGTTATGTTAGCAAAGGTGAAGTATATTTGATGATTTGGTTTTACTAGTTCCCATATTTTTTCTACTTTACTAGTACTTTATTAGTTCTCTTATTCTTTCTACTCCTTAGCCCCTTCCCATTTACCAGCCTCTATTAATTGCTTCAGGATAGGGTTACAGAAAAAAGCAGAGAGTTTTAAAATTTATGAAATCTCTGAGTTTTGAAATCTAAACCTTAAAGGTTTTTATACCATAATAAAATATTTAAAAGAATATATGATTAGACTCTTTTTTTTTTTTTTGAGTTGTTGCCTAGGCTAAAGTGCAGTGCAATCATGGCTACACACAGCCTTGACCTCCTGGGCTCAGGCGATGCTTCTGCCCCAGCCTTGCAAGTAACTGGAACTATACTTAGCTAATTTTTGGACTTATTGTAGAGACGAGGTCTTCCCAAGTTGCCTAGGCTGATGTCGAAGCCCTGGTCTCAGGCAGTCCTCTCGCCTCCACCTCCCAAAGTGGTGGTATTACAGGCATGAGCCACTGTGCTCAGCCTCTCTTTTTTAAAGTAAATAAACAGGTTGGAGAGAGGAGAAGTAAGTCAGAGAACAAATCCAACACAACTGAGAAAACCATGAATTGACTGAAATTTTGTTTCTGCTACTCAGAAAAAAGGAGGCTTAAACTTATAGCTAAACTTAATCATAGGATACTACATATCCTGTACACTTGAGCTTACAGACTAAGATTTATACCTACTACAACCATAAAAGATGCACTGTTGTTTAAAATATTCTAAATAAGTTTGAAAATAATTTGTTTTAGGTATGTACTTGTGTTGTTACAAATTTGACCTGCTGAACTACCTTTGGAACAGTGGAGAAAAGCTCAAATAGGCAAAACTGAGTTAGTGCCTAGCAATATATGGATTAAGCTTTTAATAAATTTTATCTTTGAAAGGTATTGCTATGACATTATCCTTCATGCTATTATTTTCAGCATTTATTTTCTATTCTTTTTTTTTAGGTTGAACAATGTATTCAGTATTGCCACAAAAATATGAATGATATAATAGCTACTCCGTGCAACATGAACTGTATTAATGCAAATCTTCTTACACGGATAGCTGATCTGTTCACACACAATGAAGTTGATGATTTAAAGGACAAAAAAGATAAGTTTAGAAGGTAATTTTTAAAATTTAATGTCAAACCTAATATTTATGTTAAAAGAAATATATTTTGTGCTCACTTCAGTAGCACATATACTAAAATTGGAACAATACAGAGAAGATTAGCATGGCTGCTGCACAAGGATGACACAAATTCATGAAGTGTTCCATATTTTTAGGCCCAAACTTTACCTGTACATTGACCACTGGTATACCAAGTCCTGAATTGTACCCCACATTTTAAATAAAATAAAATAATAAAATAAAATATATTCCTATTTCATTTTAGTGAAATATTCTATTTTGGAATACATTTAACTGGACATGGTGGCTCACACCTGTAATCCAGCACTTTGGGAGGCTGAGGCAAGAGGATTCTCTGAGTCCAGAGGTTCGAGACCATACTGCACACATGGCGAGATCTCGTCTCTACAATAAATTTTTTTAAAAAATTAGCTGGGTGTGGTGGCTTACACCTGTAGTTCCAGCCATTTGGAAGGCTGAGGCAGAAGGATTGCCTGAGCCCAGTGGACCAAGGCAGCTTTGATGGCCTTGAGCATGCCACTGAACTCCGACCTGGGCAACAGAGTGAGACTGTTACTCAAAACAAAACAAAACAAAAAAATACATTTAGAAATATATTTCGATTTTATTTTAAGTGAAGTAAAATTTATCCAAAGCCAATGGCTCAATATAAAAATTAGTAATTAGTTATTTTGTATAATGAACACAGGAGCACATGGTGATAGTGAATTATGTTAAAAATGATTAAGACACTGCTCAGAAGGCTGAGGCAGGAGGATTGCTTAAGTCCAAGAGTTTGAGGCTATAGTACACTACCATTGCCCCCACAAATAGCCACAGCCTGGGCAACATAGTGAGACTCCTATCTCTAAATACACACACACACACACACACACACAGTAATTTATATATATAATGTAATTAGCATATTTATATATAAATATATAACTAACATATTTATATATATATTTATATATATATATTCCACCTTATATATATATATAAAAACAAGCCTTAGCATAAAGGGAAGAGTGGTATGGAATGAGGTCAGCAGTAGTTATATCATTTTGGAGCCATTTAGGTCATAGTGAGGAGATTCTAGGTACAAATGAAAGCAGAAGAATGACAAAATCTGCTTTGTTTTAAAGAGGTGATTGCGGTTACTATGTGGAGAACAGACTTTAGGGATATAAGAAGCAAGGAGACCTGTTAGGAGGTTAGTGCAGTAGTCTGTTGAGAAATGAAAGGGTTTGTACTTGGGTGGAAGCAGCGGAGCTGGAAAGAAGTAGATGGATTCAGGGCGTGTTACCAGAAAGATTTGACAGATTTGTGAATGGAATGATGTGGGGACAGAGAGGATACCAGAATGATTATTAGGTTTTCAGCTTGAGCAATTAAGTAGGTGGTAGTGTTATTAATGGAGAAAGGAAAGATTGGAAGGGGAAGGACTGAGGTAGGGGAAATCAAGAGATGGATTTAAGTCTTGTTGAAATTATTTAATGTAATTATTAGATATACAGGTGGAATGGCAGGTAGATAGTTGGATATATTAGTCTGAAGTTTAAGTCAAAGGTCAGGGCTTAAAACAGAAATTTAAGAATTTATGAGATTTGAAACCATGGAACTAGATGCGATTTTTCTATAAGAGACTATAACTTTTTGTGTGTGTCCTGTTCAAGAAACCTTTTCCTACCTAAAAGCGATGAAAATATTCTTCTATTCTTTTCTGCTAGTCATCTTGAATTAATTTTTTGTGTGGTGTGAAGTAGAGGTCAAGGTTCATTTTTTTCTTTCCAAATAGATATTTAGTTGACACAGCACCACATATTGAAAAGACTATCGTTTCTGCCACTGAATTGCAGTGACACCTTTACTATAAATCAGGCTACTATTTGTGAGGTCTGTTACTGAGTTATCCATTTTGTTCTGTTGATCTTTGTCTATCCTTGTATCAGTAGCACACTGTCTTAATTATAATAACTTTATCATAATTTTTAGTAATCTAAATTCTTAAGTTTTACCTTTCTTGAAGTTTGCTATCTTGATCACTTTAAGTCCTTTGCATTTCTGTGTAAATTTTATAATCAGCTTGTCTGTTTTCTCTTTCTCACACATAACACAAACCTGGTATTTGGGATTAATATTGAACCTATAGGCCAATTTGGGAAGATTTAACATTTTAATAATATCAAATCTTTCAGTCCATGAACGTGGTATAACCCTCCATTTATTTGGGTCTTCCTTAAGTAATTTCACCAATGTCTTATAGCTTGAGGTATAGAGATATTTTTCCTTTTTTAAATTAAATTTATTCTTAGGTATTTAAATTTTGGGTGCTAATGTAAATGCTGTTTTGTTTTTTGTTTTGTTTTGTTTTTGTTTTTTGAGTTGGAGTCTCACTCTGTCACCCAGACTGGAGTGCAGTGGCCGCTCCCAGCCACCGCAGCCTCGACCTGCTGGGCTCCGGCGATCCTTCCACCTTAGCCTTCCAAGTAGCCGGAATTACAGGCATGCGCTCCCACGCCCAGCTGATTTTTTGATTTATTGTAGAGATGAGGTCTCGCTGCCCAGGTGGGTCTCGAATCCTCGGGCTCAGGCAGTCCACTCACCTCAGCCTCCCAAAGGCACGGGATTACAGGCTGAGCCACCGAATCCGGCTGTAAATGCTGTTCTTATTTATTTCATTTTTTAATTGTTCGCAAGATAGTATTGATAACGGCTACCCAATATTTAGAAGTTCAGCTGAGGAGAAGTAGCTGGTGAGGGACTTGAGAAGGAGGAGCCAGTGAAGTAGAAGGGACGACAGAAGGAGAGATGGCTTTCAAAGGAGGAAGTGATTAAGTAACCAAATATGTGGAATGCTCCATCATATAGAGTAAGATAGGGACAGAAATGTGACCTATTGGATTTAGAAAACTTTTTTCCCGATATTTTACTCTGAACGATTGCTGAAAAAATTAGCAGTAGCTACTACAGATAGGTAGGCCCTAGAGATTTATTCTAAAGAAAAGAGATACTAGCTTATATTTATGTGCTGATCAAGATGATCCATTAAAGAGGAAGAGATTGATAATGCAGGGGATTATCCAAGAAATTAGACCTTCAGGGGAGTGAGACAGAGGAATTATCCAAGAGCTAAATAATTGAATACAGGAATGGAATCCTAAATCCACATTTGGCTTTTAATAGTAGCAGACATTATGAGGAAAATTGGAGACAGGCAGGATGTACATTTGGAATTAAAGACAGAAGATTTTGAGTTTGGTTATATTATACATAATAATTAATATTGAATGCTTAACACAACATCTGGCACTCTTTAAAAACATTTAAAACCTTATGAGGTTGGAATTATTCACTGTACTTTATAGATGAGAAAACAAGGTTCAGAGAGGTTAAATACATTGCTAATGATCATATACCTGGTAGGCCAGGTGGTTAAGTTTTCAAAATCTTTAATCCTGACTATTTCATTAATAAAGGACTAAAAGAAAGATTGATATTCATCAATCTTTTTTTTTTTTGAGTCAGAGTCTCACTCTTTTACTCATGCAGTGGCATAACACAGCCTCGATCTGCTGGGCTCAGGCAACCCTTCCACCTCAGCCTTCCAAGTAGCTGGAACTACAGGCCCATGCTACCATACCCAGCTAATTTTTAAAAATTTATTATAGAGACAGAGTTTTGCCAAGTTGCTCACGTTGATCTCGAATCTGGGCTCAGGCAGTCAGTCCTCTTGCCTCCACCTCCCAAAGTGCTGGGACTACAGGTGTAAGCCACCATACCCAGCCCATCAATCTTATTTTTCTTGTGAAACTAGATTCCTCATGTAGCAATTCTCATTAGTAGGTTTCTTTACTTGCAACATCAAAAATGTATTACAAATTCCCAAAGAGAGTCTCTAAGGATGTATTCATCTTATTTTACACATACACCGATAAGTTTGTTCATTTTCATCACTATAATGTACTTTTAGTAAAGTAAATGTAGAAAATTGATATTTTGGTCATTTGTTGTTAATAGTAAACTTTTTTGTAAGAAGATTGAGAGACTGTTTGATCCTGAGTACTTGAATCCAGATTCTCGGAGTAATGCAGCGACCTTATATAGGTATGGTAATCTGTTTTTCCTTTGCTATGTTTATGATACAGTTATACTCTATAAATTTACTACATTTAAAATTTTCTTCTTGGGTTTTTTTGTATTTTCTTTGTGTTATAGATGCTGTTTGTGTAAGAAACTTTTAACAAAAGAAACAGAAAGAAGAATTCCTTGCATTCCTGGAAAAATCAATGTGGACCGACATGGAAATATTGTCTATATTCACATAAGGTGTAGTGAAGATAAAACACAGATTTTTTTTTTTTTTTTGAGTTGGAGTCTCACTGTGTCACCCAGACTGGAGTGCAGCGGCTGCTTCCGGCCACCACAGCCTTGACCTGCTGGGCTCTAGCGATCCTTCTGCCTCAGCCTTCCAAGTAGCCGGAATTACAGGCATGCGCTACCACACCCGGCTGATTTTTTGATTTATTGTAGAGATGAGGTCTCGCTGCCCAGGCAGGTCTCGAACCCGCGGGCTCAGGCAATCCACTCACCTCAGCCTCCCAAAGGTGCAGGATTACAGGCTGAGCCACCGAGCCCGGCTAAAACACAGATTTTTAATGTTACTTTCAAGTGTATTTATGAAAGCATAACTGCTTTTATAAGGAATAGAATAACATCTTTTCTGCATGTTATTCAACTTTGATTTAGTTTTTTTTGAAATGTGGTCTCACTCTGTCACCCAGACTGGAGTACAGTGGCACAGTCATAGCTTACCATAGCCTTGACCTCCTGGGCTCAAGTGATCCTTCCATCTCAGCCTCAGCTCAAGGGATCCTTCCATCTCAGTCTCATCTCAAGTGATCCTTCCATCTCGACCACCTGGGCTCAAGTGATTCTTCCATCTCAGCCTCAGCTCAAGGGATCCTTCCATCTAAGCCTGAGGGGACTACAGTCACATACCACCATGCCCAGCTAACTTTTTTTTTTTTTTGTAGAGATGAGATATCACTGTGTTGCCCAGGCTGATCTTGAACTCCTGGGCTCAAATGATCCCCCCATCTCAGCTTTCTAAAGTTCTGAGATTACAGGAATGAGCCACCACTCTTGGCCTAGCTTTGATAGAGAAAGATGCTACTTTCAAAACGAAGTTGTTAAACACTACATTTTATTTACTGGTTAAATTTCATACATAATGTTTTTAAACCTTAAAATGACAAAAATTATTGTATATTAATCTTGAAAGATATTCTGGTCAGTGCCATTAAAATGTTTTTTTCATTAATAGATTTTTAGTTATATAAATGTTATATTAAATTTTACAAGAGAACCAAATTTACTCTCAGGTGATTTTTGATGAGTGAGAAAAGCTGTCTTTAACTTTAGATTTTCTGTCATCTATTTGTTTTTCATACTTTGCCAGTATTCCATTCATATATAATGCATATTCTCTTTTATATTCAAAATAAGTTCTCATTCTGAGTTGGGGGAGGGTAATATAAATAGGTATAATGTCTCAGGAAGTGGAAACTTAAAATGTGTGTATTTTTTGACAACATCCTACTGCTGATAGGAATTTAGGCACAAAAGTAATGTTGAATTTGTAAAAGCATTTAACAAGGACATTTATTGCTATATAATTTAAGTAGCCAAAAAAGAAAACACTCAAATGATTTGAAAAACTAGAATATATCCAAAATGAAATATATCCATATAATAGTAGTATATCTATATGAGTCTCTAATCAATTCTTAATGCACAGCTTTAAGAATAATGTGTAGGCTGTGCCTGGTGGCTTATACCACTTTGAGGGACTGAGATAGGAGGATCCCTCAAGGAAGGATCTCGCCCCTACAAAAAATTTAAAAAATTAGCTAGGCTTAGTGCCAGAAGCCTGAAGTCCTAGTTACTCTGGAGGCTGAGGTTGGAGGATCACCAGAGCCCTGGAGTTTGAGACTGTAGCGTGCTGTGATTGTGCCACTGCATTCTAGCCTGGGTGACAGAGTAAGACTCTAGCTCTAAAAAAAAAAAATTCTAAGCAATGAATATGTATATGTATACTTTTTTCTATATATACACATAGAAAGTATATATATACTAAAGTATATATATATGGTATACTAAGGTGTGTGTGTATATATACTTTATAGTATATAGAAAGTATATGTATGTATATATACACTTACTTTAGTGTGTGTGTATGTGTGTATATTCTATATGCATATATATGCACACAGAAAGTCATTACCAATAAATTAAGATTTAAAATAGCATTTAAAATAGCATGTTCACATAAAACATTAATTGTGGTATTACCTTTGAGTGATAGTATTATGGATGGTTTTAATTTTCTTTTTGCTTATTCTTTTTTCTATATTAAAATTTATAGCCCTGGCGTGGTGGCTCAAGCCTATAATTCCAGCACTTTGGGAGACTGAGGTGAAAGAATTCCCTGAGCCGATGGGTTCAAGACCAGCCCGGGCAACTTGGCAAGACCTCATCTCTATAATAAATTTAAAAAATTAACCAGGTGTCGTGGCACATGCCTGTTATTCCAGCTACTTGGAAGGCTGAGGCAGAAGGATCACCTGAGCCCAGAAGATTGAGGCTGTGGTGATTGTGAGCATGCCACTTCACTCCAGCCTGGGTGACAGAGTGAGACTCCAAAAAAAAATATTATAGCACTCAAAAAAAAAAATATTATAGCACTTTTATGAAAGAAAGAAACCTACAAATGTTATATTTCACATTTTAAACATTAAAACAGAGATACAGAACAGCACTTAATTTGACCCTAACATCAATAATACAGTCAACTTTGAATTGTTTTATGTTTCTCAGTACAATAGGGAATCATCATTAGTTATTGTAAGCATCTGGAATTTTTTTTTTTTTTTTTTTTTGAGATGGAGTCTCACTCCATCACCCAGGCTGCAGTGCAGTGGCATGCTCAAAGCCACCCCAGCATCGACCTGCTGAACTCCAGCAATCATTCCGCCTCAGCTTTCAAGTAGCCAGAACTAGGCGCATGCTACCACTCCCAGCTAATTTTTTTTATTTATTGTAGAGACGAGGTCTCACCATGTTGTCCAGGCTGTTCTCGAACCCGCGGGCTCAGGCAATCTTCTCACCTTGGCCTCCAAAAGCATCTGAAATTTTATACGTTTTTTTCCTTGAGACTTGACTCACCTTTCGAAAATCACTTCCATCTGGCAACAATAAATGTTAGTAGTAGATGAAAAAAGTAATTGATATTAACTTCACGGCCATTTTTGTTGTTTTATTCAAAGTATTTTCCTACAAGTCTGCAGTTGGTGTATATATTTTTTAAATTGTTTTTGCCAGGCACAGTAGCTCATGCCTGTAATCCTAGCACTTTGGGAGGCCGAGGTGAGAGGACTACCTGAGCCCAGGGGTTCAAGAAAAGCCTGGGCAACATGGAGAGACCTTGTCTCTACAATAAATAAATAAAATAGCCAGTCGTGGTGGTGCATGCTTGTAGTTCCAGCTACTTGGAAGGCTGAGGTGAAAGGATTGCCTGAGCCCAGCAAGTCAAGGCTAAAGTAACCATGATCATGCCACTGCACTCCAGCGACAGAGTGAGACTCTGACAGAAAAAAAAAATTGTTAAATTACTTTTAAGATAAGTGTGCCTATGTAATTTGTAATTATAGCATTTTGTTATTTGTTGAGCTAAGCCAAAAACAGCAAAAGTTAGAAAACATTAAAATAGTGACTTCAAAAGAATAGGAACCTGAGTTGCATATGACCGTGACAATTAAGCCTTTGATAGTTCTAAATTTTACATTATTCAATTTTAAAAAAATGTAAGCTGGGCGTGGTGGCTCACTTTGGAAGGCAGAAGCAAGAGGATTGCCTAAGCTCAGGGGTTCAAAACCAGCCTGTACAACTTGGCAAGACCTCATCTCTACAATAAGGCAAAAAATTAGCCAGGTGTAGTGGCACGTACCTGTAGTTCCAGTTACTTGTAAGGCTGAGGCAGAAGGATCACCTGTTTCCAACAGGTTGAGGCTGTGGTGGCCGTGATCATGCCACTTGGTATTCCAGTCTGGATGACAGAGTGAGACTCTAACTTAAAAAAAAAAAAAGTGTATTACGAAGACTTGATTGTATATTCTGTATTACCCAATTACTAAAAAATGCTATTTGAAAATTATGCAAAGAACTAATACAGTAATAAAATGTTTAGAATCATTAGCAAAAAAATTAGTAACAACTTGTCTTATATGCAATTTAAAATAGAGTTTCCATTTAACAACACATGCTTAATTCCCAATTGTTGGCCTGCTAAAACTATATTTAATTTTTAATCTTTTCTCTAGCTTAGCAAAATAATTTGGCATTCATTCAGTCTTTCATACCTTTTTCTGTTGTCTACAGAGTAAACAAACTCCCAAGTGAAATTATGTCTGCCTTTCAGTGTAGTTCACACGATATTATCATTTGAGGAATATTTTTGGAAATAAGCCATAAATTTAAAAGCTCTGTTTAAGACAGATTGCTTATATTACTTGCTTATAAAACTGAGACTCTTTCCCCAGAGATAAGACATGGGATGTTCATGAGTTTTTGAATAGTCTTTTTGAAGAATTAAAATCTTGGAGAGATGTATATTGGCGCTTGTGGGGAACAATCAACTGGCTGACTTGTTCAAGATGTTATCAGGTGAGTTTTTTTTTTAAATATCCTGCTTTGCAAACATTGAGAGCAAAGTTCTTTTACTATCTGCTGTTTAATTAGTATGTTCGGATGTGTTTGGACAATATCCAACATCTTTTTAAAGAAATCAGTAGCAAAAGCAATGGTTCTGTTAAAACATTGTTTATTTCTAGCTGCATTTCTCTTGCCATGTTTTTCATTCTCTTTTTGTCATTTCTGAAACAATGCTTTGTCAAATTTTGAGAAAAGCAACAGGTTTTAAGTGACTAAATCACTTTTTTCAATGGAAAAAGAAGAAATTATTATGACCTTCAATTTTCAACTAAACTTTTTTCTGTTGACATTGTTTCTAACATTTCTGTAGAAATTCAGAAACACCTTTGAAGATAGGATGCTATCATATCAATATGTGCCCTTGTTATTATAACGGTTTTATTCCAAAAAAGTTTATTCATTTTCTATAAATGAAGTCTATAATAAAAGCATAATATTAAAGCTTGTCTCTTGAAGGAACTTATAACAAACACTTTTATGGAATAAATAGGTATTTACAAATCACAGTCATTCCTAATTATTCTTATGTATAGATCTATTGTTTTCTATATATAATATCTTATGAATCCCTAAAGTTTCCTCTCCCTCCTCCCAGTAACTTTCCTCTCTCACTTGGGTAATGATTTTCAGTAGAGGGAAAGAAAGAACTGCTCTTCGAAAGCATCACAGTAGAATTTCAAACTGTGTAAGGTTCCACTCAGTGGGTTCCGTAAGGTCTCATAATTCTTAAAAATCAGGTTTATTGAAGTATAATTTATCTAGAGTAAAATTCATCCTTTTTGTGAGATTTGACAAACTCAGTCATGTAACTACCTCTACAATCAAAGATATAACTCTTCCATTGCTTCAAAAGAATTCTGCTGCGCATGGTATCTCATGCCTATAATCCCAGCACTTTGAGAGGCTGAGGCAGGAGGATTGCTTTAACCCAGGAGTTCAAGACCAGTCTGGGCAACATAGCCAAACTTCATGTCTAAAATAATCAAAAAATTAGCCAGCATGGTGGTACATGCCTGTAGTCCCAGCTACTCAAGGCTGCAGTGAGCCGTGATTGTGCCACTGCACTCCTGCCTGGGCAACAGAGTGAGACTTCAATTCGAAAAAATAAATAAAATGAAAAAGAATTCCCTTTTGCCCCCTTTTTAGTCAGTTTCTTCTCCCACCCTCGTCCCTGGCAACTACTGATCTGTTTTCTGACTCTATAGTTTTGCTTTTTCCAGAACATCTTATAAATAGAATCATACAGTGTTTAGCTTTCTGAGTCTAGCTTCTTTCACTTAGAAAAATGTGAAATTTATCCACATTGTTTCATGAATTAACTTGATTTTTCAACTGCTAAGTTCTCTTGTATTAATATATCACAGTGTGTCCAGACATTCCCCAGCTGAAGGACATTTGTAGTATTTCTAGTTTGGGGCCATTATGAAGAAAGCTGCTATAAACATTTTCATGCAAACCCATGTGAACATGGGCATTTATTTCTCTTGGGTAATTAACCTAGGAGTAGGTTTGTTTAACACTTACCATACCTAACAGTTTTCCAAAGTCCCTGGACAATTTTGCATTCCTGCCAGCTATGTCACATCTTAGTAGTAATTGATATTCAGGTTTAGGGTTTTTGTTATTGTTGTTGCTAGTCTAATAGGTATGCAGTGGTTCTCCTCACAATTGGAGTATCACTCTTTTTTTTTTTTTTAAGAGACAGGGTTGCCCAGGTTAGATGCAGTGGCATGATCATAGTTCGTTGTAAACTCAAACTCCTGGGCTCAAGTGATCCTCCTGCCCCACCCTTCCAAATCGCTAAAACTATAGGTATATACACACCTGCCTAATTTTTAAAAATTTTTTGTAGAGACAGGGTCTTGGTATGTTGCTCTGGCTGCTCTCAAACTCTTGGCCTCAAGTGATCCTTTCACCTCAGTCTCTCAAAGTGTTGAGGTTACAGGTGTGAGCCACCACACCCTGCCTGGAGTATCACTTATAAATAATCAAGGATATCAATCTTCTAAAACCTGACTTGATTAGCATGTCAGAATGCAGAAAATTTGAGAGATATATTTCCTCTTCTTTATAGCAAATTGAATATTAATTTATAATATTTATTATGAAGAGTTCATAAACTCATAAAATAGTTTATATACAAAATATTATGTATATGAGAATGTGTACCTTATAGTTTTTATCAGACTCTCAGGATTTTTAAATTAAAAACCACTATTGGCTGAGCATGGTGGCTCAAGTCTGTAATCCCAGCTCTTTAGGAGACTGAGGTGAGAGGATTGCCTGAGTCCAGGGGTTCAAGACCAACCTGGGCATTTTGGCGAGACCTCGGCCCCACAATAAATGAAAAAATTAGCCAGGCATGGCAGTACACTCCCATAGTTCAGGCTACTTGGAAGGTTGAAGCAGAAGGATTGCCTGAGCCCAGCAGGTCAGTGCTGGGATGACCATGAGCGTGCCACTGCCCTCCAGCCTGGACGATGGAATAAGACTCCAACTTAAAAAAAAGAAAAAAAATTATTTGAAAATTATAATTGAAACTAACAATTCACAATTCTGAATTTTAGACTGTTATGCTTTTATGTTCAAAATCAGTCCTTAGAATTATAAATTTTGGGTTTTTAAAAAATTATTTTGCCAATTCTTTTTTTAATATACTCACTCAGAATTCCTTCCCTTCCCTAACTGTGCCCTATTCAGTGCTACCACCTCTCAGAGTCGCTCACAGTGAGGAACTCTCACAACAAGGGCTCACTCAGAGTGCAATGCTATGGCCTTTCATCCTGTTTCAGAGTCCTCCCCAAAAGAATCAAGTATTCAGAGTACTCAGTCAGAGTACCTCCCAAAAGCCCAGTGGATCCACACAGTCCGTGACATCACTCTTTCACCTCCTCTGGTCCTTCTCCAACAGAGATTAATGGTATTACCTATTCAAGGCTTTCTTCACCCAGGCCTAACGGGATCACCCTCATCCAATGATACCACCTACCTCTTAGGATGCACTACCACCACTTGCACAGGATCTTCGCCTCCCAGAAACAATAACAACTTCTAGGGTCTTTCCCCAATCTCCTGGCATGTGCTGTCTTCCACAAACTTTCCACCTTCTACCAGGTAATGGTGTTGCCCTCTCAAGAGCTCTCCCAACCAGACAAAATGACTCAGCACATGCTTTGGTCCTCTCTAGAAAAAAGGATTTCACCTTTTCAGCATCTCCTTTTCTCAAAGCCCATCATTATCATTATCCACAGATGGTGTCCCCTGCACAGGCCCAAAAGTGTCATCCCTTTCAGGTGTAAGTAAGGTATTGCCTGCTCAAGGATGCTCTCTCCTGCCCAAATAGCTAACATAATCCAACCTTTAGGGTCCCGTAGTATTTCCGAATCCAATAGTCTCACCACTCAGAGCCCCAGTTTCCCTTCTTCATACCAACCTATTAGACTCAGGGTCAATCCCAACCAACTGCTTCTCAGACCTGTTGGCACAACCTCTCTCTACCCCGCTCCCAGCCATGTAGCCAAGTGGTCTGGCAGTGTTACCCAGGCTGCCCTCAAATTCCTGAACTTCAGCAATCCTCCTGCCTCAGCCTCCTGTGTAGCTGAGGTTACAGGCCTTTGCCACCATGCCTGGCCCTATTTTACCAACTTATAAACATCTGAAACCTGATTGTTAAATTTATGAGTAGCCCTTAATAAGTTTTTTCAAAGTTTCCAAAGCCAATGATTCAAAGTTACTTCACAGCTTTTATTAATTAGATGCTAAATATTTACCTTTTTTTTTTTTTTGAGTTGGAGTCTTACTGTCGCACAGGCTGAAGTGCAGTAGCATGCTCACGGCCACCGCAGTCTTGACCTGCTGGGCTCAGGTGATCCTTCTGCCTCAGCTTTCCAAGTAGCTGGAACTATAGGCGTGTGCCACCATGCCTAGCTAATTTTTTCTTATTTATTTATTGTAGAGATGAGGTCTCACCAAGTTGCTCAGGCTGGTCTCGAACCTCTGGACTCAGTCAGTCCTCTCAACTCAGCCTCCCAAAGTGCTGGTATTACAGGCTTGAGCCACTGCGCCCAGCCCTAAATATTTACCTTATAAAATACATCAAGAAGTAACCAAGTGAGGCAACATTTCATTTGACTTTTATTTGGAAAACTTTTGAGGTGATTGGCAATTGTAAAATTAAATGTACATCAAGATCAGTTTAATTCATCTGAATTTTGAGAAAAGTGATTTCTTTTTTGCTGTTTAATGGCTTTATTGAGGTAGAATTATATGCTATAACATTTACTCACTTTAAGTGTACTCATTTGAAGTTTTTCACTGTTAAGAGTAAATTTACAGCCATCACCATCACTGTTTTAACACATTTCCATCACCTCAAAAAGATCCCTTGTGCCCATTTGCCGCTATTTCATTGTAATCTCCTGATTCTGACGACAACTAATTTTGTGTCTGTATAGATTGGCCTTTTCTGTACTTTTTTTTTTCTTAGGGTCTCACTCTGTCACCCAGGCTAGAATGCAGTGGTATAGTCACTGTAATGGCTCACTGCAGTCTTGACCTCCTGAAGACCTCAGCCGCTTACGTTAGCCGGGGTTATTTTTTGTGTGTGTGGAGATAAGGTTTCACTGTGTTGCCCAGGTTGATCTTATGTACATTTCAATACAACATGCAGTATGTGGTCTTTATGTGTTTTTGAGATTTATAACTTCATTGTGGAAAAAATAGTTGATTTTATATGTTTCTATTATTCAGGCTTTTCTCTGTGTTGAATTTTCACATTGTCAATACCACTCAGAAACAGTGATTTATCCTACTGCAGCAAGTTCATTGAGTACTGTTGGCACTGGAATTTATCCCTGCTGTAACCAAAAGGTTCTTCGGTTTGATCCCACTCAGCTTACAAAGGTAAATTTTGAAAGTTGCTCTTTTGTAGTTACAGTTTTTAAAAAGTATAAAAGTAATACATTTATGTAGACAAGACTTCATACAACACATAAATAGGTATATAAGGAAGTAGTTCCTCTTTCTCCCATTTTCCATCTCTTCTTAGAGGTAACTATAGTCAGCAGTTCCCTTTCAGACCTTATTTTATACATTTCAGGCACAGTTATATGGTTTTTTGAATTGGAAATGAGATCATACTACTGTTATTCTGTAATTTGCCATTTTTACTCAACAACATACAATCCTCTCACCTCCACCTCCCAAAGTGCTGGGATTACAGGCATGAGCCACCACACCCTGCAAGAAAATACTTAAAAAGCACCAAATATGTGCCATATGCTGTGCAAGGAAGAGGGTAGCATGTAAAATTAATAGTCTCTGACTTTATGGAACTTATAGCTCAGATAGTAATACTAAAAGTGGGGAGGAACATGCAAAGAAATGTTTGAAGAAGCTATAGAACTATAAATTTCTATTATAGGCTTGTATGATCTGGCTACTGAAGTCAATTGGCATTTAGTTGAGATCTGAAGGATTTGTAGGAGTATGTATAGCAAAGAGGAAGGGGAAGAGCATACAAGTCAGAGCAGCAAGGCCAAAAGGAACATAGTGAGTAAAAGAGCCTGAAAGAACCTGAGCCTACTGTAGAAAACATGCATAGTTAAGACAAGGCTGGGGAGGTAAGTAGGTGTCTGACCGTGCAAGGACAGGACCTTGTAGGCCATGTTAGGATTTTTCTTTTATCTGAGGTTTAGAAAATGCCAGTTGCGCCGGGCTCAGTGGCTCAGGCTGTAATCCCGCGCTTTGGGAGGTTGAGGTGAGTGGATTGCCTGAACCCGCAGGTTCGAGACCCACCTGGGCAACTTGGCAAGACCTCATCTCTACAATAAATAAAAAATTAGCCGGGCGTGGTAGCATGTGCCTGTAGTTCCAGTTACTCGGAAGGCTGAGGCGGAAGGATCACCGGAGCCCAGCAGTTCGAGGCTGCAGTGGCTGGAAGCGGCCACTGCACTCCAGTCTGAGCGACAGAGTGAGACTCCAACTCAAAAAAAAAAAAAGAAAAAGAAAATACCAGTTGCAGTGTGGAGAATGGCTTAGCAAGTAGTCAGTGGAGTCAGATACAAAAGGAAGTTATCACAGTAGTCTCAGAGAGTACTTGGACTAGAGTAGTGGAGATGAAGAGAAATGGATGGATTTCATATAAATATTTAAGGGGTAAAACTAAAATGACTTGACAGATTGTATCCCAGGAAGAAGGGGAGCAGTCAAGGAAAGCTTAGTTTCTTATTGGTGCTATTGGACAGATAGATGGTGTTGTTGTTTACTGAAAAGGAAACAGTAGACAGGACTCAGTTTGGAGAGAGATTCATGAGTTTTGTTTTGGGCATTTTGAGTTTGAGGTACTTTCTAAGATAACCAGACAGGGGCTATTAGATCTAAGTTTGGGGACTCAGAGAAGTGACTAGGCTAGAGATAATGATTTATAAGTTTTCTCAGAAATAAATAATTAAAGCCAGCAAGTACACTTGCTGAGCATAAGAAGAGCAGGGGGCTTAGGATGGAGCTTGGAGGAATTCCAGTATCTAATGGCTGGATAAAAAGCACCAGCCTGCAAAGGAAAATGGTCAGAAGCAGCCAGGATAGGGCAACCCCTTCAGGTCCCCTCCCGCTGTGGGAGCTTCTCTGAACTCTCAATAAATTCTGCTTTCTCACTAAAAAAAAAGAAAAGAAAAGAAAAGAAAAAAGAAGCAGCAGCCAGGATAATAGGAGGAAAACTAAGGATGTCATGAAAGTTAAGGGAGTAGTAGTTAAAGAAAGAGATAGTGATCTCTGATACCTAAGAGGACAAGTAAAATAAAGAAAGGAATGTGTCCTTGGCCTTAGTGACCTGGAATTCACAGCTGTGAAGAGCTGTTTTGGTGGAGTGTTGGTTCCAGAAGCCAGGTTGGTATGTGCTGAGAGGAGAGTGAACAAATGGAGACAGTGCACATGACAAGTCTTTTGGGAAATTTGAGAATGGGAGGAGATAGGTCAGTAATTAGGTTATGGATTTTTATTGTTTTTGTTTTGCTAATAGAGACTTTTTAAAAAAATCAGTGGAAAGGATCCAGTGGAGGAGAGGTTGATAATATGTTTCTGAGTAAGGCAGGGTAGGCTGGGATCTTAAGCATATGTGGCAGTATTAGGAATGACAGCTCCTCTCTTATAACAGGAGAGAAGAGGAGAGTGGTTGCAGATATTAGTAAAATGGTGGTTTGTCACTTGCATGATCATTTGTGCCAATCTAAAGCTTTTTCTGTATTCTTTTTTAAATTTTATTATTATTAAGATGTGGGGTATAATTCAGGGTTAGGTATACAAACGTTGATTATGCAGGTACCCTTATTGATGAGGTATGTCCCTCCCTCCGCTAGCAATTTCCCTCAACTGCCAATCCCACTCCCCCCAACAGTTTCCCACTACTGCCAGTTGCTTTCTTACAGTATTATAATTGTTCAAGCTTCGCTTATGAATGAGAACATATGGTATTCTGTTCTTTGTTTCTGTGATAGATCACTGAGTATGATTGACTCTAAATCCATCCAAGTTGCTGCAAAGTCCATATATTTGACCTTCTTTATAACTGTATAATATTCCATTGTGTATATGTACCACATTTTTTTATCCAGTCCAGCTTCGATGGGCAACGTGGTTGGTTCCATGTTTCTGCAGTTGTGAATAGAGCTGCAACAAACACACATGGGCAGGTATCTTTTTTGTAGAATGATTTGAGTTCCTCCAGGTATATTCCCAATAGGGGAATTGCTGGGTCATATGGAAGGTCAATTTCTAGTTCTTTCAAAAACCTCCACACTGTCTTTCAATGAAGTTGTACTAGTTTGCATTCCCACCAGCAGTGTAGAACTTTTCCTTTTTCTCCGCATCCTCACCAGCATGTTGTTGTTTGTTTTATGAATGATCACCATTTTTACTGGGGTTAGATGGTATCTCAGTGTGGTTTTGATTTGCATTTCTCTGATGATGAGTGAGGCTGAGCACTTTTTCATTTGTCTGTTGGCTGCCAGTATATCTTCTTTTGAGAAGTGTCTATTCATGTCTTTTGCCCACTTTTTAATGGGGCTGTTTGTTTTTTTCCTCTCGGCATGTTTGAGTACCTTGTAGATCCTGGATGTTAGGCCTTTGTCAGATATACAGTTGGCAAATATTTTTTCCCATTCTGTGGGCTGTCTCGCTGTTCTCTTAATGGTTTCTTTTGCTTTGCAGAAGCTCGTCAGTTTGATGAGGTCCCACTTGTCTATCTTATTTCTTAAGGTATGGGCATTTAGGGTTCTGAATAGGAATTGGTTGCCAATTCCAATTTCCATAAGGGTGTCTCCTGTGTTTTCTAAGATTCTTATAGTTTGAGGTTTTACATTTAGGTCTTTGATCCATTTAGAGTTAATTTTTGTGTATGGTGATAAGTAGGGGTCCTGTTTCAATCTTCTGCATGTGATCAGTCAGTTTTCGCAGAACCATTTACTGAATAGGTTCTCTCCCCAGGAGTTGTTGTTGGAGGCTTTGTCAAAGATGAGTTGGTTGAGGAATGGAGGCTTTGCTTCCGGAATCTCTATCCTGTTCCATTGGTCTATGTGCTTGTTCTTGTACCAAGACCAGGCTGTTTTGACTACTGTAGCCTTATAGTAAAGGTTGAAGTCTGGAAGTATGATACCTCCTGCTTTGTTTCTTTTGCTAAGGATTGTTTTGGCTAATTTTGGTCTTTTATGTTTCCATATAAATTTCTGTATTGTCATTTCCAGATCTGAGAAGAATGATGTTGGTAATTTGATAGGTATTGCATTGAATCTGTAGATTGCCTTTGGTAGGATGGACATTTTAACAATGTTGATTCTTCTTATCCATGAGCATGGATTATTTTTCCATTTGTTTATATCTTCTTGGATTTCTTTGAGCAGTGTTTTGTAGTTCTCATTGTAAAGGTCTTTCACTTCTCTGGTTAGGAAGATGCCAAGGTATTTCATTTATTGTGAATGAGGTTGTGCTTTTAATTTGGGTCTCTGCCTGCTTGTTGTTGGTGTATGCAACTGTTTTTTGCACATTTATTTTGTACCCTGAGACTTTGCCAAAGTCCTTTATCAGTGCAAGCAGGTTTTTGACAGATCCTCTTGGATTTTCAAGGTATAGGATCATATCATCAACAAAGAGGGATAACTTAACTTCCTCTTTTCCTGTTTGGATACCCCAGATTTCCTTCTCTTGTCTAATTGCCCAAGCTAGGACTTCCAACACAATTTTGAACAAGAGGGGGTAGAGTGGGCAGCCTTGTTTTGTTCCAGTTTTTAGGGGAAATGTTTCCAGTTTCTGTCCATTTAGCAATGTTAGCTGTGTGTTTATCATAGATGGCACTTACTATTTTGAGGTATGTTCCTTCTATAGGTGTTTGGGGATTTTTAGCTTTTTCTATATTCTAAAAAGTAGAAGATAAAACCATCTGCTGAGAATGAGGGAGAAGAGGGAAGGTTCCAAAGTTCGAGGGAAGTATTGAAAGTTTGAAATAGTATTTTTGGAAAACAGGAGAGTGAATTTTCCAGAGAAATGTCATGTGTTGCCAAGAAGTTTGAGAGCTCATTAGAAATTGGTAATCAAAAATTAGGGTAGAATCCAGTATGCCTTTTTCTATCACTTTCTTCAGTAGCACTTGCAGGCCTGGGGAATGAGTTGTTGAGTTCATGCAGAATTAGGGTTTTGCCAGATGGGAATGATGAAATTTAGGAGCAAAGAATTTAGGGTATTGGCATGAATATTACTGAATAATGGATTATGGAATTTTAGGTGGATTAATTTTGTCATATTTACAATCAATTACTAATTTTGATTAGTCAGAAATTTTATTGGTAAAGTAATAGATTGCTAACATGATGGTCATATTTGCAGTTTTAGTTGTGCAACTTGCATACAAAGCT